TCCTCCTCCTACTACTAGTACTACTAATTCCACTACTGCCACTGCCATTGCCATTGCCACTACGACTACCAGCAGCACTAGCACCAGCGCCAGAACTGCCAGCGCTGGCACCAGACACCAGCACCAGCGCTAGCATCCGAGCTTCATCTGACTTTCCCGGCTGTAGTGGGCAGCTCGGCAGTTCAACTTGCTTTTGTGCTGCCTTCGAACCAGGTTTCGCGGGCACCTGGGGCGCTTGCACTATTCAACAAGGACCGAAAACTGCTATTGCTCAACCCAGTGTCAACCCTCCCTAACAGCAAACGCCAGGCAGGGCGCCTCTTCGCCGCATCCAGCACTTTGACCACTCTCGGCAATGTGAAAGGGCCACCGTGGCTGAAGCGGCGCCCCAAAGCGGCCAGGCGGCTGCGTCAGGCCCACGGCCTCCGTCGAAGGACGGTGAAGTCGGGGCTCAGAGAGTTTGGTGACTTTGGTGCGACTTCAGCCAGACCGAAGCCCTGGCCTCCGATCGGAGAACCAGACCCTCCCTGGAAGCAGCATCGCGAAAGTGGCCATCCCAGAGCCCACTCTCCACGTACCTTGCAGAGCCCAGTTTGCTGTTTGAAGGGTGTGGTCATTGGGGCCTATCGTCCACGGGCGTCTGGATCTAAAGGTAAGGCCTTGGGACAAGAGTGCAGGGAAAGCCAGCTGAATATCCCTCCAAGGCCTAATGCTTTGCCTTGGACCCTGTGGCTTTGGCAAGACAGAACTGGTTCCAGAGCCAAGCTGCTTCCGGTGATCCATGCCACCATGGCGAGGAGGTCGGGAGCGTGGGTTTGTGCTAATGCTGCTAATGGTGGTGGTGATGATGCTATGATGCTGCTGATAATGACGATGACGAAGACGACAACTGATATTAGTGCTCAAGCTGCCCGCTGCCGAGTAAAAACAACAGTCTTCATAACGACAAGAAACGTCATTGCGCGTGCATGGGGCTTAGATGCTTCGCACGTCGAAATCGTGGGAGCGGGGGGTCTACAGGTTTCCAAGGCGGGAAGGCACTTCCCATTCAGCTGTTTGAGCCACTTGCATCGTCGTTGAGCGACCGTTGACAGTGAATGAGAGGCTCACAGGCATTGCAAAAGACCTGTATGAAATCCAGAGTAAGCTGGCCTAAGCTACACGCGAAGTAGCACCTCCATCCCTGGAACTCTTCGGATTTCGGGAAACATCGCTACAGTGCATCGAGCTCTCCCTGGGCCCACGCCCCCTTGCCGGCCCAGCAGCCCCGTCGCCCCTCCTCGCAGAGCCAGGGAAGTCGTGGCTGTTCCGGACGAGTGCGATTCTGCGGTTGGGCACTCAAAACGGGCTTCGGCGTGGTTTTGGCTGCTAGGAAGCCTGGCGGTGAGGATGTAGGCACGCTGGCTGGCTGGATGTGCGGATGGATGGATCTAGGAATCTAGTTGCCTGCAACACCGCCTGAGTCGTGTTGGGTTTCGAGACCTCAGCACTGCATGTGGCTGGGCTCGAAGAGTTCAGCCGCCATCAGATCCCAAATCACCGGAACCGAGAACCCTTGAGAGCAAAGTCACCAGCCCGCGCCCGGCGAGGCTCCAGGAAGACCTCTTCCGCACCGAGGCCTTTGCCATCGCTATAGATGTAAAAAGACCTGGCTGCAGAGCTTCCCGGTGCAGAGCGCGTTTTGCAGGGCTTTTCGGTGAAAACGGGGCGGGCCCACACCCTGGCACCGCTGTAGAGCGCTTGGCCTCTCACATCCACGACGTTCACGTACACCCTGGCCACACAAGTGGTTGCCTTAACTACTCGCATGTCTTGACCGTTCAGTTTCCTTGTCATCAACCATGTCAGCCGCACAACCAAACCAAGATACCATTAAAACTCAGGATGAAATGCGGAGTGAGAACAAGCAGACAAAGATAGCGGACAGCTAAAGTCAGAACCTGGTGGTGAGACGGTCACAGAACAGTGATTGTGGCTGCGTTGATGATGGCGGTGTTGATGATGCTTGCTAGCCCATGATAGTCCATGTGTGGCGCAATTTTCTGCATGTCAAAAACAAGTCATGGTTGTTCTTTGAAATGAGCAAAATGCAGACCTTGTCCCGAAACCTGGACAGCCTGACACCTGCAATCAACACCCCTAAACCCCGAAGATCCCCTCAGCCGAAGTATGTAAAAATGCAACCCCTACTCAAAACCAGAGGGCTAGTCAAGTCTCGGGCGAGTTGGAGCTTTCACCGTCAGATGCAGCCCGGCATGGCGACAGAAGGTTTGACGGACATGGAACTGCAAAAGCAGCCAGGAAGTAGGATGAGGGGCAAGACTTGCTCATGCTGTGTCCTCAGGTCAAACCCTCCACGCCCACACGATTTCCAAACAAGGCCCTAGAACTGCTTTGAGCTCCAAGCCACATCCCAAACCACCTTCCTCCCAAGCCGAATGACCAGAGCCGGAACCTTCCGACCCGACGGGACGCAGGTCCTCCAGTTGTTCTTGAAGGCCTCCGGATGCTCCAGCTCTACATCCGGTCTGATCCAACCAAACCTCGGAAGTGTCGAAAGTTGCTGGGGTTCGTTGTATCATTCGCTGGTGCCAAGCCAGAAGCTGAGTGTCAAGCTTTCGCTTCCACTGAAGCACCTCAGCGCTTGAACTCTGGAAGGAAAGCAGGAACTCGACTTGAATTGAATCACGTGCTCGTCAGGAACTGCGCAGTAAACCGTCCGTGTGATCTCAGTCCCTGGCGGAACCTGTGTGCCGGATGTTCCTTGGAACGTCTTCTGTTCAGCACTCAGTATTTGTGATTTGCGTCAATAATCACCATCACATGCTCTGCGCTTCGTCAAACTTGTCCCGTCCGGGCTTCGCACGCGATCCGATCTCTCGGGTGCCCCGGGCCCGCCCATGGCGTGGCCATAGAATCCCGCTCAGGGCGGGGCTTCCACATATAAGTCCAGGATTTGGGGTGTGACGCTTTGTACAAGACTCCACTTTATATTAATTCAACGGGGGAAACTAAAACTGGCCAGGAATGGGAGACTGGCGCTGGGGTCGTGTCCAACATCTCTGATCCTAGTCTTCAATCCGATATCTACCTGCCCACGAACCAGGCTGGGGTAAAGCACTCGAGGGGACGGGCGGGAATCGGAAAGCCACTTGCCGCCTCGCATTGAACACAGGAGATGGGGAATCCCTTTCCCAAAAGCTCCTACAGTGCTACAGGCGCTCACGTTCCCAGAAGGACTCAAAGCAATTGCCAGCTTCCCTAGAAGCCCGAACGGCTGCAAGAACAGGTGCAGTCCAAGCACACCGTTTTAGGTTCTTGCCTTTCTTACACTTGCTGGAGTTTGAGTTCAAGGCCGAGCCGGTGGCCTCTCGGTGTCCTCCGGGAGCGACGACATCTCGGGCAAGGTTTCACGCATTGCCTCAACTCGGATCCTCTCCTGTCGAATCGTCCCCCGCCCGAAACACCCTGATCCCCAGCCCTGCGCTGGCATGACCGGGCTCATCAGCTCACTTTTTTCGGTGTTATACGCGGGTGACACGCTTTATCTTGAGAAACCTCGATGCCCAGCTCTTGCTCCGGGGCTCCAAGCATCGGGCAGAGGTCCCTTGAGGTGCCAAGGCAGGAGGTCACACAGCTCAGACGGCAACGTTTAGGGTTTAGGGTTTAAGGTACTAACATCATTCGCTCAAGTCTATGCTGCTATATGGCCTTCCGACACCCGGGATTCCTGGTCTGTGATTGTACGTGTGTGCGTGTGTGTGTGTGTGTACGTACGTACGTACGTACGTACGTGTGTGGTCGCGTGCGCGTTCGTGTGTGTCTGTGCGTGTGCGTATATCTATGCATGGATGGATGATGTAGATGTATATTTATATGTACGAGTATATGTATATGTATGCGTATGTGTATGTGTATGTGCATATGTATATGTATATGTATTTGTATGTATTTGTATGTATACGTATGTCTATGTATGTCTATGTATGTATATGTATGTATATGTATGTAGCGTATATGTATGTAACTGTATGTATATGTATGTATATGTATGTATATGTACGTATATGTACGTATATGTATGTATATGCAGGTACTGATGATGATGATGATGATGATGATGATGCGGAGGATGACGATGACGATGACGATGACGATGACCATGACGATGAAGATGATGATGATGATGATCATGATGACGATGATGATGATGATGACGATGACGATGACGATGATGATGATGACGATGACGATGACGATGACGATGACGATGATGATGATAATGACGAACAAATTGTGTTTGCACTGAGCACGCGCTTCTGCACAGACCTGCACGGACCACATTGACATGTGCGCAAGCCCACAAAATGAGCTTCTCGCTTTTTGGGGTTCAGTAGATCGGTTTACATATCATACGGCATACACCATACATATATCTGACCTTATCGTTAGTCACAATCTGGCATTGAATTAATGCCACATGATTTCCGAAGACCTTCCGAAGACTACTTCCTGATGTGGAGCATTTTGCTCTTTGCTCATAATATATTATTAATGTCCATACAGACCTGTACATGTTTGTGTACAAAACCCTACATATACATATATGTACATAGACTTGCACAAAAAACACCAAACCCACATACGTGCAGACATAATCAAACATACATACGGACAGACATGCATGCATGCATGCAGTCATACATACATACTTCTTCCCACGCCGCAAGAGAGTACTCGCCTTGCTATACATGAATACATACATAGACCTGCCTGCCTGCCTACCTACAGACAGACGGGCAGACAGACCGTGCATACACGTATATATGGAGCTGCAATACATATGCCGTGGGCTTGCGCTGTTTTGACCTCTACCTTCGGAGCTCCACACTCTGCATTCTCTGGTCTCCGAGCTTACGCCAGAAAGCACAGCCCACCAGACCCGAAAGTCTCTCGACCCCCTCAAAGCTGAAAGCCTGGACACCTGCGAGAGTCTGCAAGCATGAGCCTTACATAGCCGTACATAGCCCTAACAGAACATTCGCGTTTCGCTGACTCACGGCCAGGCTCAGCTCTTCAGGGGTGGCGACCTCAGGGTGTGAAATCCTGCCATTGCGCACGAGTCCCTTTCCCGGAGCAGCTTCAGGTGAACAAGCACTCTCCCAGGACTTGTTTTGTTTGCTTCCGTGGGTCGAAACGATTAGGAGCTTGTGCACCACAGGAGAAACATGGACAAACCCACTCTGGGAGGGTCTCCCCACCGAGACCGGCACACCAAAATCACGGAGTCGCCACGCACCTGAGCGGTCCGGCGGTCTGAGTTTGAGACCCTTCCTGGCAAAGTTGGAAGCTTGGCCGACCTCTCCAAGTCCTAACAGGGGGCTTCTTTGGGTTCCGCAACGGTCAGCAGCCTCGATTCAAAAGCCGCTGGTCGTTGGTGAAACACACCGCTTCGATCATCAAAACCAGGCTTTGCAACCAACACGTCCCTCATTCACTACTCTGGCTCACACGATCCCATTATATCCCATCATTCCAGCACAAACACACAGCTCAGCCCAACCGGAGCACCGACGGAGCCTTTGAAAAATACCCACCAAGCAACCAGCACCGAGGAAGGGCCCTCAAAATCCTGACGCGTCACACAGAAAAAGATGGGGACCCGGCAAAGATCATCTCGATGCCCCGTCGGTTGGCCTTGATCTCGGGCTCCTCCTCCGCAGCTGGAGGCTTTACCTCTAGATACTCTAGATGTCATGTTCCACCAGCAGCACCAGCACCACTGCCGTGCATATGATGACGGAGCCAGCTTCCCAAGCAAGCATTTTTTGACAAGTGAAGCCGTCCTTTCCAGGCACTTCCTCTCGGACGTAGGATATCTCCTGTGCCGGCATATGCGTTCCAAGAAGTAACTAGAAACGTGGCAACAGTTCCAAGGCTTGCTCACTTAACTCCTGCGGACTTGAGGGCGGGTCCCATGAACCTGCAGCCCGAATCCGTAGGCAGTCGGCCTCTACTTCGCTGAGCACCATGTTCAGGTGCTGGTCGAAGGCATGCAGCCTGGTACGTTATGGTAGGTTTACAGGGCTTACAAGTCTTTCATCGTTGCAATGCAGACCCTGCTGGCCCTTCCTACAGTTGGGCAGGAAACACTTCTTGCGGGGGCCAACCCTTCCGGCCGATACCGGAGGGATGCAGTCTCTACGGGAATTGGCCAACACAACGATGAGCGCCAATGCCGTGACCCATCTGCTAGATGTGCATGTTCCGGTGTATGACTGGATGGCGTGACGAAGAACCACTAGCACTTCGTTGGCACATTGCGAACAGCTGGAGTCCCGATAGGCTTTCAGAAGGGCTGCGAAGGTCAGGAACGATGCCTGACCCATGGCTGGCACGTCTCCGCCGATATCCTAAACAAACCTTGACCTCGACTTTTCCGACTGGGCAGCTGCCCACAACGACTCAAACAGACGGCTGCCTCCCTCGGATCTCACGGTCGCCGCGGCACTTGACGAAGATTCGCTCGTCGAGATTTAACCTGGTGGTCAACTTTGTGCCTTTACAGACCATGTCTGTTGCGGGATGCAGATGGTGGAAGCCACATAGACCTTATACAGCAGCATAATGCTTTGCAAAATAACCATGTCGTCCGTGCAAGAACAATCAAGAACATCAGATGCCTGCCCAAGCGATTGAACCATCGTCAACTGTTCAGCATTCCCTGCTTGCCCGTGCGTGTCTGGCCCATCACCGGGTGCGGTGCCGAATCATGTCCAGCGGCTCCTCAATGGACGACAGCCCCTGTGCAGCTTCGGGTCGATGCTTCGCTTCTTTGAACCCCTGAAGGCCCCGAAGTTCGGCTCCCAGTGTTTGCCTCCGCCATCCTGGGCGGGAAGCCTGGGGCTCGGGCGAGTACTTGCAACCAACTCTTGGCCCTACATCTGGTGCAGGCTTCGCACTGCAGAGTGATTGCTTGGCGTGATCATGCACCATCGAATGCCAGCACGACTTGCTGGAAGCTCGGATCCACAGGCCCAGGCTATCCAAAACGCCACGTACCCCGGTCAGCGGCAGTCCCACTCTTAAGCTCTCGAGCCAAGGGGAACGCCCGGACCAGGCTGAAACTACGTAGAGCCTACAGCTCTAAACATGGAAGCATGCCTCAACCCGGGCTGACCATGCCGCACCTAGCCAGCCAAGCCGCAAAGTATGGCACATGCAGCGTGGAGAGCACATGGTACACAAGCAAGGAGCAGCCAAAAACAGAATCCACACTCACACAGCCTCGCACGCACCCCGTGCTGCTTTGCCACGTCAAGCATGACAGCAGTTAACGAGTGCTGAACCTCCACGGCTCATAAGCGGAAAGCATGCAGGTGAGCAGTGATCTGCACGTGGAGGAATGAAGTTCTACGCAGCTTAGGAGGGTCCTTCTACTTTCTCCAAGCGATTCCAAGGGCATAAGGTTACTCCGCAGGCTTGAGAGGGATTCGAGAACGCCTGATCGGCCAACAGAGGGAAAGGGGCGAGGATGAAATGCTCCTCCCCGAGTTGGACTTCAGATCATGTGCACACGAGCAACCTGCAGAATCCTGCAGACTGCATGATTGAATTACATGTGTCAAGCTTACACTTCTGTCCTGATGCAAATCTTCTCAGAATAGCCGGGGTTTGGGCTGTGAGGCTTGATGGATCCGACTCGAGCGTCTGGACAGAAGAATGCAACAAATTGCGACGCTGTCATCACTAACCTTGCTATTCGCCGGAGCTTAATGACCGAACACAAGACTTGGAGTGCCTTGAAGCACCAAAGTCTAAGATCTACCAAGGCCCCCTCGCTGTTGACAAATATCTGGGTCCAACTTGAAGAAGCTCTGGCAAAACCCCTTAAGTCTTAAGTAAACGTGAAGGGCCCGTTCCAGCCCTGCCAAGTTCGAGCGAAGCTCAAGCTCAGAGCGACCTAGGCGGCGAGGTTTCCTGGCACGGGTAGGGCCTGAAAAAACCTCGACTTCTCCCAAGTCTCTTGGTGCGGCGGGAGGGGGAGGGGTTAGAAAAACGCAATCCGGGCTTGACGAGGCCATGCGTCTTCGAACCTCTCAAGACTCCGAAAACCCGTCTCCTCTGGACCAGGAAGCCCCAACCTGGCAAGAGGCTCTGCGTGGAGTTTAGGGCATAATCATGGGGTTTACGGAGTTTCGGAGTTGGCTGCGAATGTGTGGAGTTTGGCACCCACACGATGCACTCAACAGCGAAAAGTTGACATGGCAGCCGAAATTTGGAAAGCTGGTTCTATTAACATGGGTTGGCTTACAGTACGCCTTATCGAATAGGTGCACGAAGGAGCATCGTAAAAGGAGTCGCTTAGCAAAGCCGGACACACAACCTTGAACACATACATCCAAGCGGGTGAGGCGTGCTGAAGGTGCCTATACCCAAACCTTCCGAAAGGGCCCTGACCAACACACGATTCCCCCTGAAAGGGCCCAAGCAAACCAAAAGCAAAAGAAAAAGACAAACCCTAAGCGTTAACCGTAAAGCCCCAAAACACACAGTGCAAAACTTCGAGGCCCCACAAAACCCAATGGACTTTTCACCCGAACCCTCAGCCCCTAAACCCCCGGCAATCAAAGAAAAGGGCCCTAAATCGTAAACCCTAAAGGGTCACTTTCTTTCTCTGGCCTCTGCTTGACCACTTCGCTGGTCCTCCTGCGGCGCCTCCTGGGGCTGCCGTTGAAGTTGCCATCCTCAGCTCCAACTTTACTTGGAGTTTAGGGACTTATGGGTTTAGGGTTTAGGGTTTCGGGTTTAGGGTTTAGCTCCAACTTCCCTTCTTGTCGGCTCCTTTCGTCCGTGCAGTCATCGGAACAACAATAGGGGGGGGACCTGCTTGAAGGCTTAGGATTTGGGGCCCTTGGTTACGGTGCTGGGTGTTAGGGTGTACCGTCCGGAAGTGTAAGGCCTAGATTACCTACTTTCAGGACGACAGTGCGGGGCAGAAAGGCCTCAGGGCATTCTGGAAGCTATGAGACAGTCGGTGCTGCGCAACTGCGCCAAGCTTGAACGCGAGCTTGGCAGGGCAGAGGTCGCAGCAAAGCAGGTGGGTCGCCATTGGAAAGCTGCCGCTTAGCATCTTGTCTTTAATTCGTTTCACGTCAGCTTCGTCTTAGATGCTCCACCAGAGAGCTGACCCCCGCGTTGGTTCCAGAAGCGATGGTGAATTTGGGGGCTTCGCCTTCTGGTGCTCGGGGCTTCGCCTGAAGCCCTGACAGGTCGCTTCCTGACTCAGACACAAACCTCTGAGGTATCAGCTTGACGGAAGGCGTCGTCCAGGGTCGGGGGCATGTCAGCGAGGAGGAACCAGTCGTGCCTGCTGTGGAGGCCAGTGCTGCCCTCCTACTGCAACCGTCACAAGACCTCTCCCGAGCAGGTCACGACAACGGTTGCGAAACATCCCAAAGATGCCCAACGTCAAGTTGAAATTGCCGTAAATTTCATGTCCGAACTCGAACTGGGACAAACTTTCTCAGCCAAATCCGCACTTTTGGTGGGCACGGTTTGGCCGGCCATGACGGTTTGCGGAGAGAAATCGCGAGTGAGAGTGCAAAAGGAGTGGCGGTGGTGGTGGCCGTGGTAGTGGGGTCGTGGTTGTTGTAGTGGCAGTGGTAGTGATACTGGTAGTGGTGGTAGTAGTAGTCGTCGTCGTCGCGGTAGTGGTAGTGGTATTGGAAGTACACTGGTAGCACTATAGTGCAACTTGGCGGGAGTGGTAGGGGCTTTGTAGTGGTTGTGGGAGTGGGAGTAGTAGTTGGCTGCTGCTGCTACTGCTACTGCCACAAGCACAGCCACTGCTACTGGTCTTGTTCTCGCTACTGCGGCTGCCACAGCTACAGGTACCGCCACTGCTACCGCTGCTGCTACTGTTACAGCAGCAGCAGCTGCTGCAACAACCACAATAAGAAGATCGAAAAAGGCAGTGGAGAAGTCCCTCAATGCCCGTCCTGCTACCCTCGTCGTCGAAACGAACGATCCGCAGCCCCGAGTGCTGCGCATCCGCGTAGAAGGGCGGCTCACCGACACACCTCGAAGAACTGAAACTGAGGGTCGACAAAATATCGCGTGAAGCCCGATGCTGCTGACCCTCCGGCAACCTCCAAACCTCGGAGAATGATTTGGGGGAACGGCTTTTCGAAATTGGGCCGCGTGGACGTCGCCACCACCTCAGTGATGGGATCAGGCGAAGGCTTTGGAGGTTATTTTCAGCTCCAGGCTGGATCTGGGCAACAGTGATGCGTTTCCCTTTTTCTCGCCTGCAATCGCACTGTGAATGCCAGCAGGATGCAATTTCTCCCGCTGCGCACACCAGCCAAACGTATTCAGATAGGAAAGCATCGCATGCAAACATTGAGACATTGCAAGCGACGGGCGCTGCAGAGTGCCCAAAGGCACACTGTCAGCATGCTTCCCAGATAGGCTTCGTTGAGCTCCATCAGAACTCGTCACCATATCCTTCCTCTTCGCCTTCGCCCTCAGCCTCTGCTGAGCCAAGATCAGAATGACTACAAGCTCTCCAGCTCTACAGATATATATGGCCACTGATCCAAGAGGAAACCCCGCAGAGACTCGAAAAAACAATAACAAAAACGAAAGATTCCAAGCTCCAAGAGGCGGTCTCAATGCCCACCTGCCCGGCTCGGATCTTGAGAATGGGCTCGGGGCTTCTATTCTAGGGTTCAGAATGCACCCATGCCTTGGACATTAAGCTCAAGCCCCTTAGTCCGAATCCCTGCGCCCCAAAGTAGGAATCCCAAAGCCAAATCCCAAAAGCCGCCAAAGACTGCCATCGCCTCCTCGTAGTCTTTCTCCAGCGCAGCCAAGTCTTCCCTCGCCTCCGAGAACTCGCCCTCCTCCATTCCTGTCGAGTTAAAAGCGCCGCTCTGGAATATCGCAACGGGTTGCAGGCGATCTAGTGGCCAGCAGGCGCCTTTTACCCAAGTACATCGGTCACTGTTAACAGCATCATCACCATCATAATCCTCATAATCATCGATGTAACCTTCATCATGTCCTTCTTGATCATCATCATCGTCATTCATGCAGCATCATTACCATCAAGATGAAGTTCTTCCGAATGGTATCCACCACCATCACAGACTTCGTCGTCATCGCCGCCACTTCCGTTGACGTCGTCGTAGTGAGAATCGTCGTCGCGGCGGCCGCCACCGCCGCTGTTGTCGTCACCGCCGTCGTCGTCCAGGTCTTCGTTATCATCATCCTCGTCCTCGCCCATCCTGTCACCCTCGTCAGCGTCATCGTCATCATCATCCTCATCAGCAGCAGCAGCATCATGAGCAATAACAGTATCGTCATCATTAGTATCTCCATTATCATCATTATCACCAGTTCATCTTTTTGTCTTTGTGTTCGCAGCGTCTGTCTAACGCTTTGCGAGGCCAGAGCAGGACAGGCGATTGGGGAATCACCCGGCATATAGCTGTACTCAGTACATCCTGATCATCCCAGCAACATGCGCGCCGTAGCGCAGCCATGCAACTGGGAGTGGAGCGAAATTTAAAATGCAAACGCGCGTTCGATCCGTAGATCAGCAACTAAGAGGTGACTACATATAGGGGTCCTGTCTTACACATCCGGACCAAAACATGAATCCCAGCGATCTCAGCAACCCTTGTCTCGATTCACAAATTCTCCAGCCATCTCTGATGTGATATGCGACCAGCACTGTGCGATGACCTCCCTGCCAGGGTTGCGTGGCATGCTCCTTGGTAGCATCGAAGAGGAGATACTTCCCAATCGGATGTATGGTGCCAGACTCGCCATTTAGCAGGTCCTGGCCAGCCTCGTCACGCAACCAGATGCCGCCCCCAGTCGTCCATTTGGAGAGTGGGATGATCGCATTATCAACCGCTCTGTGGTTGTGAATGTCTTTGTGGATTGCAGTCTGGACATCATGAGAGAGCACTACTGTGGAAAAAGTGTGCCCCGGGACCACACTAGAAACCAAAGAGGTAAGCAAAACGGTGACCCAAGGAAATAAAAGCGTTTCCGTAAGGAGGCCAGCATCACCACCATGGACGTAAGCTCCCGTGTGGAACATGAAAGCCTCGGCATCGTCCGAGTTTGCGCGCTTCCTGCTCCGGGTACCTGCGGTATGGTAGCCACGCAGCTCCTCAACCAACAACCGTATGTCGTCAAAGGATACAAGGCCAGCTATCAGAAACCCGTGCGCAAGTCGATCCACTGCATGACTGGGCTGCCCTAGGGTGTCCGGAAAGGAACCAGGCACCAGGCGTATACCATCAAAAGGATCTTCCGGTGCGGGCGGGCCACCGCAGTAGTGGGGGGAGCCCCCGTTTGCGTACTCAGTCCAGTTAGTAATGAGTTCGCAAGTGTTGACCGGCTCCAGGCTGCTAGGCGGCCGTTCGTAGACAACAGTGGTCGCAGCGGCGGAATCGAGGGAAGCAATTTCCATCGGCGTATCATCCATATTGCACGCGGGGTAATGAGAAGTGAGGACTAAACCACAAAGACACCCCAAAAGGAAAAGGGAAGTGGGATCGAAATGTGGGAATGCGAAAGGAGTTGAGGTGCGCTGCTCATGGAAAACTTGAAGAGTAATAAGCAGCGGACTGTGCACAAGGTGATTGGAGCACGAGCAAGGCTGTACGGCAAGGAAAACACGGCGCAGTCACTGACCCACAGCATAGGCAGACTGATCAGTTGTTTGCAGCCACGTATGAACGTCTGCTCGGCTCTGATGATTGCAGCAGGATGCTGCATTGCATCTAATTAGGGGCGCCCCGTGGCGCACCACAGCAGGCGCCAAGTCCAGCTAGGTATTATTTTGTTGTAAATGCGACATCCTGGCTGTTGGGATAGACGCAAGAAGCCATCACGGCTCGGCCAGCGGCCCATGTCGTAAGCACTGTAGCGCGGCGGCGCTTGCGCAAGTGTGGAGTCTGCATCTCCAAAAGACTAGGAAACCACAAAGGGTAAATTTGCAACTAACCCCAAACAAGGAGGAGGGGAAGGCGAGGGCGAAACCACTAATCCTTAATGGCCGAAGTGGCCCGGAAAATGGAAATGCCAAGTTTCCCAGCAGCGATTGCACATTGGACTCGTTGAGTCTCACTGCCTGC